GCAGGTGGCACAGTTAAGGTGCTAGACTCCCACATGGCGGCTTGCCGTCTCACTCTCCCTCTCTGGTCAAGTTTAATAATAATAACAATAATAAAATTTTAAAAATAAAAGTAGTCCAGAAAGGATACCACATAAATCTCACTATGGTAGTTGCATTCTTCTGCCTCTACTACAACAGCTATCTCTCACAGAGAACCAGGCTTCAGTATCCACAACTTTTTCTTCCTTATTTCCTCATCATCCAGCTTAGACCACATTGTTTCAATCTGTGGTCACAAAAATAGAGCCCTAAAGACTGTTTCATGGGCATACTGAGGGGCTCAGGTCTATTATATATTGAGGCAAAATGGTGCCCCTAAAGACTATGGCTTCTTACCCTCAGGATTGCTAACACTCTGGAGTAGAGGGATCTTGTTGAGGGTGGCTGTCTTGTGCAGCTGGGAGGTTTGGCAGCATTCCTGGCCTCTCCCCACCAGAGGCCAGTAGTACCCCATCCCCACATTTACTGACAGCCAGAGCCCCACAGATTCCTACATAACACCGCAGGAGGTAAAACTGCCCCCTGGTGAAAACTGTTGCTGAAAAATCAGGGTCATTACTTTAGATCTGGCCCATATATTGTCATCTCCCCTTCAGCTTTGGCTGATGTCATCTACTTTCAAGGAATGAGAACCTTATGAAGAAAAAGTTCTAAAGTCTAGGAATTTGTCAAGAAGGAGTTGCCCTGGGACCAGTAGTTAGCATAATGGCTATGTCGCTGGACTCCCACGTAGTCGACCTCAGTTTGCGTCCCAGACCCGGTGGCTTGAAACTCACGCCAGGCCCGTGTGCGTGCATGCCCAAGATCCCAAGAGGAGAAGGGATTGCAGCGTGGCCATCCCCCCTGGGGTTGATTTCTCACTTTCTGTCTAGGACGCACCGCATAGCAAAAACCTCTTTAAAAAAAAAAAAAAAAGAGTTGCCCTCATGGCTGAGATCAATCAGTATCTATAACTCTGTCCTGGGTTCCCAACTTCACCCAGCAAAAGATGTCTTTAAAGTTTAATGTTTGGCAGAAAGAAAAAGTGAGAAAGCATCCCCCTTTCAAGGGGGATGGACACACTATAAACTCTCCTCCATTATCCTCTCTGGATTTTTGGTGTATACATGCCCAGTGTTTCTTCTGTACTGAGCACTGTCTCTTAGCAATTAAATAATGCTGTTTTAACCATCCTTACAATACATAACCTTCCCCTGAATCAGCTTTGCCTCCAGATACTTGCTGATTTCCTTTGTCCTTCAGTAAAATCTCATTGAGGGTCTCCATGCTCCACCCTTTAAAGGGAACATCCATGACCTAGTAACAGAGCCAGGATTCCATATGGCTGACCAGTTACAATTTCAACACTGGCAGTGTGAAAAACATGCCAGCTCTGGTTAGTGTATGCCCCAATTCCCAACTGGATGGACAAATGGAGACTGGATTGTAGCATGCTCCCATGAGAAGGGGGAGGTTTCTCTTCCCTATCCCTGAGGAGTTCATACACACTGTTCCAGAATAATAGTAAGTTTTAATATTAATAGACTCCTTGGAAAGAAACCAGGTTAAGTGTTTTTTCATCTTTTATTTCACTTGCTCCCACAGCAGAATTTTATCATTCCTTCCCTAGAAAGCTTTTCTCTTTCACTTCTGTGATACAATTCTTTTTTCTCGCTCACTCCTCACTCCACTCAGTCTCTGAGTTCTCCCCCCTTCCAGTATGGGCTGTAGGCAATCACTGAGTTTAGCCAGTTTTCTTTATATCCAAGATTTATCTCTGGGCTCAGAAAACCCAATCTTTGGCCCCCAGCTCCGAGACTCAGAAGAGCACATACAGGGACCAGCGAGTGGCGTGGAAGTTGGAAGTTAAAGAGGATGGGCACTCCCCGCACAGCCGACCATGTTTTGGGTCCCGGACCTAGTGGCTTGCTTTCTCACTGCCCTCCACCCCCGTGTCTCTCTGGCCAAAATAAAATAAATGAATGAATAAATAACATTAAAATAAGTAATTAAAGAAAAAAAGCACGTACAGCTGTGGTCCACAGCTCTCCCTCCAGACCACAAATGAACACAGCACTTTCCCCACCCCCAACATTCCAAATGTGACACTAATAGACTTATCTAATAGAGAATCACAAAGCTCTAGTAGAAAACTAACAATCTTGGACAACTGCTTTCAAGTCTTTAAATCCAATCAATTTACCAACTCTCCACTGATGCCATTCTCCGTAGGACCGTCACTCCTAAATCTTGATATTGCTCAACAAGGTTTTTCACAACTCTAGAACCAGTCCCCAACAGACAGCAGAGTACGAGCATAGAATATTTTTCCTTTGTGATATTAGTCAAATTGTCATTTTCTTCCTGTATTTCTCTCATATCCTTCCCTTGCATTTCTCATATTCTTTTCTGTCCCTGCATTTCTTCCCCCTAATTCCTGGAAGAATGGCCTATTCTAAGCTACCATTTTCTCAACATTTAAGTTCTCCAAGAATGGCAGCTGGCTCTTACAGAAACACAATTCACATTTCAAGTGTTTCTGTGAAACCTATGCCACTGTCCTGCTTCCATGTCCTCAGGCCTTTTTGGACTTTAGTAGAAATACTACCCTGTGTACCCTGCATCATTGCCTTTCGCCTTTTTTCTCTCTGCCTGGAATGTGTCTTGAGGATTTGACACATATGGTCAACACAGGGTAATTCTCTGTCCAAATATACTATGCCCAATCTCCCGACCAGCTAAGTACTACTAATCCTTAAATCTCAGTTCAAACACATCACCTTTCAAAAAGGTCTGCCCTTTCTCTACAAATTAGTCTCATGGTTCTAAATTCCTACAAGTCCTGTCACGATCAGTGTAAAAGGTATTTTGAAAATCACATTAGGAGCCTAATGGTGACAAACTGCCTCTGTTCTGTGGGCCAACACACCCCACCCAGAGCCTAGGACTGGCACAGTGGGCCCAAGATTAGCAAGGGATTAAGTGCTGGCCAAGGGGTCAACACCTCCCTTAAGAATGAAGCACCCTAGCTAAGCTGAAATAGATACATTAGAAGTATAAATACTTCATATCCGAATTACTTAAAATACTTCATAAACCAATCTACACTTAGAACACGTCATTTATTTTTATCCCAAAATTAGTTTTCTATCCCATTTCTCAAAATTTGTAAGATCTTCATTAACAAAAATCCAATTAAGAGTGCTAAAGTCTTGCTCAAAGTCAGATGTGAAGCTAGGTGCAAGATTTCTTTTAACTCCAGACCCTAAGAAAATTTCTTTCAGATTTTACTTGACAGATTAAATAGAAATACATCAAAAATTACTTCGCATTAGCTCACCTTAAAACACAAAAGGATGTCTTCAGTGGGAGACAAGTCTGGTAAGTAATGAATTATCCTATAAAAAAGAGAACAAAGAGAAACTGACCTTGGATTCCCACAACCACCGTAGCAGGCTCAGAGCTCTACTCCTCCAAAGAAAGAGGTCACAGCTGCCAGGCTTGAAGGTCTTTTATAGTCCCTAGGTCGATAGAATTAAATCTCACAACCTGGCCCACCCTATCAGCAAGAAAGAGGCTTAACTTTTCATATGATAATGACTAAAGCTGAAATGGAAACACCCTCTTTGTTTTAGTAAACTTAATTTCAGAGTTTCCAGACTCTGAGAACAAGGCAGGAGGAAATTCAAATATGGAGGGCAGGAGTACAGGAAGTGAACAAGTTGGGAGGGGGTGCTGAGTGAAAAGTCAAAAGGGATGAACCAGTAGTTAGCTCCTCCAAGGATGGGCACCAGGGCAAAGGTGTTTGCTGGCAATTGTCTAACGTGGCTTACAATGCACAAAAACGCCTCTGGGGGCAGTGTGGGGACACTCAAAAGACCATGCCAGTTTTGCTAACTTTCTTATGGACAATATTTGATCTGGCTAGCTGAGAAAATAAGAGAGTTACTGTTGAAATACGCTCTTCTATACAAACATCACTAATAACATATAGACAATTGTATTCACCTTGCCTTTTAAGTTTTCTGCAGTATTACCAGAGATACTGGAGAGGGAGAGATGTAAAAATGTAAAGTATTTGCAGTTTTTTTTTTTTTTAAAAAAAAAACAAGTATTATGAAACAGTGTCATTTCTAATACTCTATAACCAAGTTTTCAAGAGGCTTCAACCATTTACATTCTCCCCCACTAGCCTCCACAGAAACTAGGGGCTTTTAAGAGTGTAACCCAATGATCTTTTTGTCCTAATCCACTTCCACTCCTCTCTCTCCAATGAGGCCCACAGACCAACACTCTGGGCCTCTCTGGGGACAGTCAGAAGCTGGCAGCTAGAACTACTTTAGTCAACTGACACAAGACCCAGTAAACTGTAGCTATACCCCAGGGGAGACGCTGATGGAGCCCAAGTCTCACTGCTGGTAGCATCTATAACACTAAGAAGCAATAAATACACAGCTTCTGTATCCCACACCCAAAGATTCTGACTTAAATGTCTAGGATACAACAAGGAAGACTTTGCACAACTCTTCTAGGTGACTGGCCTTGTAGCCAACCAAGTTATAAATTGGTGGTTCTCATGCCTCAATGTGCACATGGACCAATCAGGGATTTTAAAAAATGCAAACTCTGAAACAGAACGGGGCAGGGCCGAGTCTGTGTTTAAAAAAGACTATCTACATTGCTCCTAAATCCCATTACTGGTTAGACGGGATTCATGCTGCCTTCAGGTAGTTCCAATCAAGATAAACAGGGCGTGCCTGAGTACTAGGACTAGTTAGTTCATCTGCAGAGTAAACAGGGCAGTTGAAGCACCACCCACCTCCTTTTCTTTTGTTCCGAACAGGCAGGTGGGACACTGATTTACCCTCCTTTACAGATCTTTTGTACTCTAGAGAAGCCTAAGGAGCGCTTTCAAAAGGGGCCCACCTCCCCCTTCATTTTGCAAATGATTCTTAACCTCCAGAAGGCCGGATCAAGCAAGGGTTGTGGTTACTATCAGAGTTCTGCCCTTAAGTCAAAGTCCAGGGAAGCCGGGGCTTCAAGACTATGCCTTTCACTTTTTTCAAATCAAGACTTACCTCTGAGAGTAGAGCAGATTTCTATTTTCATCAAGTGCGGCTGTAAGCCGAAGGACTCAAATTCCACCCGAAGCTTACAAACGCAGAGGCCTCCGGGGAAAATCCAGGTGCATCTTGTTCTCAACCTGAAATAAAAATTCACGTGGCCAGGGGCAAATGCTCCCTGTGAGGTCGGAATCCCAGAAGCAAGGCTGTTCGCGTTTTGGCGGGAAGCACGGCGGCGGAACCCCAACGACAAGGTGACGACGTTCCCTGAGCCTGCACCTGGTGACCGACCCCGCTTCCTCAGGACAGCGGGGCGGCAGGAAGGTCGGCCCGGGGCCTGCGCGGCTCGGGCGGGAGCTTCCGGGCAGGGGCGGAGCGGGGCGAGCAGAGCGGGGGAGGGGGTGTTCTGGCGGGCTAACCCGTCCGGCCCACCAGTGGGGTGGGAGTTACCTCCCCCGAGGGCGGGAACGCGTTGGAGTTCGCCCGGCCCTGCCGAATGGGTGACTGAAGGGAGTGGAGAATGCAGGAGGATCCCAGAGGCCGGGTGGGGACACAGGAACCGGGCGGGAGGGCAGTGGGGGAGGCGCAGGGGAGAGGCCGCGCGGGCTTTCCGGGCGGGGAGGGTTGCCAGCCCCGGTCCTAGGCCCAGCGGCGGCTCACCACGCCTGGGGCGGGCAGTCGGTATGGAGACGCTGCAGAGTCCGGAGTCCGGGAAGTGAAGGCCGCGTGATCCGAGGGCGGCTGGCGGACGCGGGTCACGGGGTGCAGAGCAGGAAGTGCCACCGCGGGGCCCGCCAAGATGTCACCAATGGGAAACGCGTGCCTGCAGGTGTGGCCCGCGGTAAGCGAAGGCAGGAAGTGGGGGAAGGAAAGAGAGAGGCAACCAGGAAGACAGTTCTCAGCGAGTTCTCCAGAAAGGAGCCAGGGGAGCCACCCGGGGAAAGTCCAGAGTACAAGCTTGGGGACGGGACGAGGGCCGCATCGTGTAAGAGAAACCAGCAAATCACCGCTAAAGTACAGAACTCGACTGGAAACAGCTAAACATACAATACCTTGTTTTGTACAACCGCGTACTCTTATTCAGAGATACTTAAAAATATTTATAGATGGGGCTGGCAGGTGGCATGGTGGTTAAAGGCGCTGGATTCCCACATGGCTGCACGTGGTTCGAGTCCTGGACCCGGCGGCTTGCTTTCTCTCTCTCTCTGCCCCTCTCTGGTCAAGTTGAAATAAGCAAATTAATGAATTAAGTTAAATAAAATAATTCTTTAAAAAATTTACAGATGTCTAAAGTCTTCAATCTGAAAATAATCTGACTTCAGAGGGTGGAAATACAGATGAAGCAAGATAGGCCAAGAATTTTTTTTATTGAAGTTGGTGGTGTGTACATTACGTTCATTTATACAGAGACATACACATTTTTTTGTTAGAGGGCACATGAGCTTGCCAGGAGAAAGTGAGAAAGCCCCCTCCAGACAAGATAGTCATACTGCAATGGCTTCTGGGATTTGACACACATGCAGGTGTGCCTGGCATTTTTAAAGCCAGCAATCTGGGGCTCAAACAAAGCTGTGTAGTCAGCCACCTCAACCACCCCCACTAGCTGGCCCCAAGTTTCATTATATTTTTATCTCTACTTTTATTTTTTTAATAGTTATTGCCAGTGGCTGTATTTGGCAGGTAACACTTAACAAAAACAACCCCACTGACAAACGGTCAAAGTTACACACTCTTCTCCATCCAGGCAGGCTGGCTTTTAGGGCATTTAAGTGTACAACATTGGTGTTTTTCAAGCCACTGGAGCCAGGATTTGAACCAGATCCAGCTTCCCACTTCATCACTGTGCCATTAGGCCTATAGACATTTAACATAATTGTTTAACAGTGTTCAAGATCTATTTACTACACTATCGTTTATATAACTCAAGAGGAAAGAGGGATGTATAATAGTGGAACTCTAAGGACAAATGAGACCATCCTTTCCAAGGAACAGCTCCTAAGAAAATGAGTGGCATGCATCAAAGAAACTTGATTTATCAAGGATCCACAATGCATCAGACTTATCTGACACTGAGTCAAACTGGCATTCAAAATAAGGGATACTGAACAGGACTAGAAATTCATACTTATTTTAGATGATAGAATTGTGGCTATATTTTATTATTAATTTATTAGTATTTAGAGATTTTTGCTACAGGGTATGAACACTCACTAGAGAGACAAGAGACAGAAAGCAAGAAATCACTCCCGAGGGGGCGGCTATACCACAATTCCTTCTCCAGTCTCCTCTCGGGATCTTGACCATTCACGCACATGCACCCAGCCTGAGTTTTAAGCCGTGGGTCCAGGACTCAATCTTCAGTAGGCTAGAGTCCAGTGACATAACCATTACACCATCTGCTAGTTCCTATGGCTATACTTATTTTCTAGCTGTATCCTGACAACATTCATAAATGGAATGGTGTGATGATGGGGACTGCTGCCCATGTGGTAATTGTCAGAGCTGGGTGTTGGAAATATGGGAGTCAATCTCATTGTACTCCGCTTTTGTACTTGTTAGTTCACAATAAACAAAGCCCCACCTCCTTGCTTATTTTTCCTATCAGGGAATCCAAGTTCTCTAGACTCAAACTCCAGTCAACCCAAGGAAAGTGAGAAATACTAAAAACTCGCACATTCAAGAAAAGTGAAACATATTCTGAAGGAAAACTAGGCATAATGGTCATCTGCTTTTAGAGCGGACACTCCCAATGGAAATGGTCATAACTGCTTCTTAGCAATTTATATAATTTTATTTTTCAAAAAATGTATCTGTTGCACTTGAATTTTATACATGCCTTCTTTGATTAACTCTTTGTGACTCAAGAGGCAAATGTTAATTATCCTTTGGCCATAATAAGGTTTCTGCCTGGGGAGGAACACTGTACTGAAAAAGAAAACTAAAGCTAAGTCAGATGAAAGAGGCAGAGGAAGATTGTTCACAATAGCCTTGGAGACCTAGGTTCTGGCTTAGTGTTTTGGACTGTACTATCAGGTCAATGGGAAGTCAGTTATTCAAAATGGAATGCCGTTTTGATTTTGAGTTTCAGTTTTTAACAGAACAGTCTAGGTGCTATCTGGTGGAATAGGAACATGGAAAAAAAAGATGAGGGGTGAAACATATTCAGGAAGACAAGTGGAAATTTAAGGCTGGGGAAGGGGGACAACAGTATGATAAGACCCTGTCAAGGGTGCCTGTCTCCCTCTCATGAATAAAAAGAAACATTTAAAAAGTACATCAGTACACACAATTGTACTTAACTCTTAATGGAGCTCATGGATTTGAACTGTGAGAATTCTGACCCAATTCACGCAACTTGCCACAAAGCTACGCTAAAAGCTATTAAGAGCTATAGATGGGAAAAAAATAAAGAGCTATAGATGGAACATTACATTATTCAAGTTTTAAATGTTTATTCCATTACTACATTTTTATTCAAAAGCATGACCTGTAGATAACTAAAAGGCTCTTTAATTTACTTACTATCCGTAAGTGTAGGGTAATAATACACTGTTTCCCTATGGGCTCAAACAGTAAAATTAGGGAACCAGTAGATAATGTAATGGCTATGTCACGTAGTGGAATGCAGTTCAAACACTGGACCCAGGAGCTTAAAAAACATTGGGCATGTGTGCACACCTGCCCAAAATCCTGAGAGATTCAAGAATGGAGACAGGATTGCAGCATGGCCATCCTCTTGGGGACTGATTTCTCCCTTTCTGTCTTCCCCACGTCCCATAGCAAAAATCTCTTAAAAAAAAAAAAAAAGTATACTGAAATTAACCTAAGAGACAAATTTTACCCAACACAGGTTAAGATACTGTTCTACTTAAAAAATGTTTGTGAGGGCCAGCAGATGGCATAATGGTTACATCACTGGACTCCCACATGGCTGACCACAGTTTTGAGTTGCAAACCTGGTGTCTTCAAAATTACACCCGACATGTGTGTGCATGCATGCATGTGTACCCAAGATTTGGGGAAGAGAATGGAGAAGGGATTGCAGCATGGCGACCGCCCCCCCCCTGCAGGGGGGGGGATGTTTCTCACTTTCCCTCTCAATGTCTGTCTCTCTCTGGAGTGCATGACCCTAAGTCAAACTCCTCTTAAAAAAAAAAAAGTAGTTTGTATGTGTGCATACATGTTTGGATTCTGCCAAATAAAATTTAACTGGTAAGAAAGACAGAGCTCCTAGACCACCTCCTGCTAACTTTTCTAAACCTTTCTCTCCTAAGCAAGTGGCATATACCACCACCAACCACCCCACAATGGGTGCAGTTAAATCCTACAGTTAGGCTCCAGAAACCTATGGGTTCTGGTCATGGTTTCCAGAGCCTCCAGATACCCTTCAAGGCATATCTAGGGATGATCTTCCTCCTGAGGAGGTAATGGAAAACTAACTCTTTGTCAGGTCCCATGTAGCTGAGACTGCTGTAGCTCCTTGTGTTCCTTGTTAACTGCTCAGGGGACCACAACATTCTGCCCTGAAAAGAGGAGAGCCAAGCAGGGAGAAAAGAAACTTGACAAAATCTGAGAGGGGTTCTGGCACTCAGAGAGCATATACCAAACATCAGACCCAGGCAAGTTTCAGAGAAGGGCTGGACAAAATCATACATAATTTAACAACAAAATAACAAAAACAATAAGAACCATCTCAGATGTTCCATTACGGAATAAAAAGCTTTCTGATCTAAAAACTAAGTTCTAAAGTCCAAAGGTGAAAAGATAGTGGCCTGAAAAATCAAGTGCAAGGACTATTTAAAAACAGATATAAAAATATAAATAAAAACAGGGGAGTGGGGAATGGTGGTTAAGGGTGCTAGACTCCCACATGGAAGACAGTTTTGAGTCCTGGACCCAGCAGCTTGCTTTCTTACTTTCTCTCATCAAATAAAGTTAAATAATTCTTAAAGAAAAAAAAAAAAAAAAAAGTGGAGAGGGAGAGAAGAGACTTGTAGGACATACTTTTTTCCAAAGCAATTTTCTTTATATACTTTAAACTTTTTGATATAGGGCACATGCATTTGCCAGAGAGAGGGGGAGAGGGAAAGTTTGAAATCACTCTCCCCAACCACACCACGTGCTGGTCCCTGGTGGCTCCTGAGCGCTCCCCCCCCCTCAATCCCTCCCTCTCACTCTCTGGTCAAATTAAAATATAAATGAGTATAATTAAATTTAAAGATTCTTAAAAAAAAAAAAAAAAAAAAGAAAGAAAGAAAAGAAAAGAAATTATCCCCCACAGTGGAAGGCCAATATGCAATCCCCTTTCATGATTTTGGGCATGCATACACAGGTCCCCAAAATCAGTTGCTAGGTCTGGGATCTGAACGGAGTTATCAGCCATGTGGGATCCAGAGCCTTAATCATCTCATCACCTGTTGACCCTATACTTTTTTAAAAGAGAATTATTTAACTTTATTCACTTTATTTTGACCAGAAAGGGACAGAGTAAGAGAGAGAAAGAGGAAAAGTGAGAAAGCAAGCTGCCAAGTCCAGGACAGCAACATGGGAGTCCAGCACCTTTAACCAAAACACACGACACCTGCCAGTCCCCCACACTTGTTTTTTTTTTTTTGAGAGTTTTTTTGCTATAGGGCACGTGTGCTTGCCAGTGAGAAATCTTCCCCCCAAGGGGGATGGCCACAGCACAATCCCTTCTCCACTCCCCTCAGGATCTTGGGCATGCAGACACATGTGCCAGGCATAAGTTCTAAGCCACCAGGTCCAGGACTTGAACCACAGTTAACTAGTCAGAGTCCAGTAAGTAACCATTACACCACCTGC